ACATAGCGTAAAATTTTTCTAAATATATGTTATGGTTACAGGTTAAATCGTGTTCACAATATTCATAAAGTTTTCATGAAATTTTTGTAACATTTTTGTAACATTTTTGTAACATTTCTCGTAACGTCGCTTTAAAAATCATAACCGTACGTTTGTACAGAATAATAACATAAATGCACTGCTTAAGCTTGTTGGAAAATCATAATTTCTGTTTTACGGCTCCCCTGCGCCACATTTGCTGAACGTGCTGACTGTGTAATATGAAACAACTCATGTTTCGCAAACGCAAACAGGATTATGACATTTGCACTTTTTACGCCATTTTTGAGCCTATTTCTCGCAGATGTTTCCTGAATAAAGGGAGATAGCCAGTGTGAACATTGATGCAAGCTATAATATTTATCGCGATGAAATAACACGTCCCTACATTTCGAGGTACTCGTTGCTTTTATTAACCGAAACCATTAAATCGGTGCCTGATATAAAGATCCTACTATATCATTGTTATCGCTTTGTCCTCGTAAATTTTTTGGCCGTCATGTTTTATCCCAATCGAGTGTTAGATTTATCCTGAAAATGCTTTTTAAGATTAAACTAACAAATAAAATGCATACTGTGAGAATTAAATTATATTTTTAGAAACATTCAGTTAATTTTTTTCACTAAGTTTACTTTTCATTATAAAATCTATTAAAGTTAAAGTGCACAGTGTACATTGAGTTTTGTAATGTCTTACAAAAATCAAAATTTAATTTTTAAGCAACTGAGAAATTTAAATATTCTTTTAACTAGGAATTTTTAATTATTCAGTCTAAATGTGTCTAAATGCGTTATGTCCGACTACTTGGAAACATTATTAAACTTGTGACTTTTCAACTTTCCGCTAGAATAGCTAAACCGCAAAACGCGAGGAATAAAAGTTTTGTAAAGCCATTAGTATGAAAGTGTACTCATAGTAAAGCTATTTCGTGTATTGATATTGCTATAGCTCTTGTTTTTTAATCCATTAATATGATACGAAACGATAAAACGCTTCATATATTTGCGTGCTTGTGTACTAAATTATTCTATCTTTTTGCAATAATATGTAATTTTATATATATTATTCAGCTCAAATAGAATATTGAAAATATCACAACTAGAATGGAAT